GAATTAACAGGAGATAACAGACATCCATTACACATGGCACGTGTAACTAAAACAGTCTACCCCAGTGAGCGAAGTAAAGGGTTCAGTTCGGCATTCCAACTATCTGAAGAAGGCCGGAGCGTACAACGGCTCAAACGTTACAATAAATATGGCAACAAAGATGAGGACAATAGTCCGAACAATCTAAATAGTGTACATAATACCTCATCTCAGAAATATCGACAGATACTGAAAGGGCGAAACGTTGTAATAAATAGGGCGACACATAAGAGGACAATGGGCCGAATAATGTAAATAGTGTACATCATACCTCACCTCAGAAATATAGACATATACTGAAAGGCTGAAACGTTGTAATAAATATGGCGACAAACCAACGTCTTTTTTCAACGGGCGAAACGTTGTGAATATGGTAATGAAGATGAGGAAAATAGTCCGAATAATGTAAATAATGCAAGTAATCATAATACCTCATCTCAGAGATATAGATGCAGAAACGTTGTGAATATGGCAATGAAGATGATGATAACAGTCCGAATAATGTAAATAATGCAAGTAATCATAATACCTCATCCTAGAGGCATAAAGGACGAAACGTTGTGAATATGGCAACAAAACTGAGGACAATAGTCCGAATAATGTAAATAGTATGCCAGAACCTATTCAAGAAACTGTGAAGTGTGTAGGATTGGGTAGCAATAACAACAATACCAAAATATACAAGAATGGAGAATTAAAAATAAATAAATAAAAGAAATAAATAATTGAGACTGGCCATTCTTCATCAATGATACTGGAAAGGTGCTGGAAATTTGCTGCTCCTTGAACGCCAGTAACATTTTGTGTGTATATAAAATTACAAATTATTTTACTGAAGGTGTTTTTTAGTGTGAAATTTGAAGTGAGTGAAAATCTGGGAAAAAAAAAATAGCGGAACGTTGCTCGGGAACAAAACAAATAGTGTTACTCATTATTATCAGAGAGCCCTGCATTGAGGCTAGGAGGATTTGGAAATCAGAGGAAGTATCGAATTCAACAAAATTATTAAAATCAACTAGAGAAGTAAGGAGATTACTGGAATAATGAGGAGGCTTTTTGGCATTTAATGTTTTATCCGTCAAATATATTGTTTTTACATTAAGATTGTTCCGTTTTATTATAAATTATTGTTGTTAATCTCTTATTTTGCCTAATAAGATCCATCGTAAGAACAAATCTTCTATCTGTTACGTAAATTTTGTTTGAGTATATTGTTAAAATTTTTCTGCTTTATTATTTGTTGTTAATCTCTGATTACTTAAGATCTACACTAAGAATCTCTTATCCGTCACATGAATTTTATTACACTATACTATTGTAACTATTCTATTTATAATATATATATATATATATATATATATATATATATATATATATATATATATATATATATATATATATAAAAATGAAAACAGTCCATTAAGGTTCCATTAGTTATAATTTATTTCACCAGATATTTTATTTTCCTCTGGATCTTCAGACTTCACTTTCAATGGTGAGAAAATGAATTTAAATATATATATATATATATATATATATATATATATATATATATATATATATATATATATATATATATTCTGTTTATATGATATTTTTAATAAATACAATTTACTTAAATGAATGTTGCATTTACCAGCCTGACTGTTTACGTTAAGATACATTTCGTGAGCAGATATAATCATTCGGGAAAGATCGTCGAAGATTTATTGTTTTTTGTTTAAATTTTCCCGAATACTGAGCAAAAAGACTTGTCACTTGATCCCGAAATATATAGAATCAGCTATTATTGTAAAATCTTTAAGGAGTACACTAAACCTCCAAAACAACTTAAAAACATGGAACTGTTACCTTGTAAAAAAAAAGTGTGGCTAAAATAAGCTACAGCTCTGAGGAGAGTTCTGGTGTCAGGAATACACTTGTTGTCTCTTTACCCGTAGTGAAAGTCAGCAATCATTGTTTGAGAACGAGGCTAATTGCCACTATAATAATAATAATAATACTAATAATAATAATAATAATAATAATAATAATAATAATAATAATAAAGTGTTTAAATGGATGACAAGCAGAGATATCGAATTAAAAAAAATGTATGCCAAAAAATAATATATATATCCCACCTTTAGCCCTTCCTGTTCTTCTTTCTTCTCTTACACCCTCTCTCTAGAGCTTTCATACATTTCCCTCTCACATTTGTTCCCTACTCCCACACATACACTCTCACTAAAATTTTGTTTTTTTATACCCGGAGTTATATTTTGCGATTTCTTTTTGAATTTGTAGGTCTGATGAATTGGATCGTGATTACGATTCCAGTGTAATAAATTATAACCATGGAATATTAGTATTTGAGCCTTTATATTTTATTCTTGCTCTGTCCTGGACATTGAGCTCTACCTGGATTTTATCCTCTTGAGAATTTATATATATATATATATATATATATATATATATATTTTATATATATATATATATATATATATATATATATATATATAATCATTTATTTAAAAAAATTATAACATAAATATGTTATAAAATCACTACAAAAATAGCCATTTTGTTTCAACACCCTCGGTATATATATATATATATATATATATATATATATATATATATATATATATATATAGTTATGTTACGGCGGTGATAAAGGAATGAATCCGGGAATCCAGGTCATAATAAATAACGTTGCAGATTCTTCTTTTGCACATTATCAACAATCTCAGAAGCACCAGGTCATATGAGGCAACAATATTTCATGCATGTAAGAATGGTAGGCACACAAATATGTAAAATAGCTTCTGGCGTGAAAGATTATCTGACATGACCTCGCAGTTGATTCAATATATTATTTCCATTTCATGTCAGCGGTAAAAAGTTTACCAAAAAGGCGCAATCAGTCAATCGCCTGGAAAGTTCTCCAAGACGATTAAAAGAAAGCAGTTTCGTTTTGAAGGCGTTAAAATTAACAAGCCATTTCTTGTCCCAGTTAACAATAGATTGATTTATATATTGAGTGTATTGTCTCTTAAAATCTATTTTTATTCTGATAAAATCATTTATTCAAATTCCAAGGTATTTCATCTAAGTATTTCTTAGGACATCATTGGTTGACTTTTTTCTTTAAAGCATATCACCCCCCCCCCAAGCCAGGCGGGAATGCCACTAGCAGTCAAAGGGTTACAGAGGGTAAGAGCAAGAGTAAAGTGTGGTGTTGTGAGGAAGGGCTAAAAAGAAGGACGGGGCTCAAGGTCAAGGCATTAGAAGATATCACTTGACATTATATTTGAAGATTCTAGCTAGTAACAGGAAGGTAGTTGCACTGTCGAGAAGGGCGAGATAAGAAACTGTTGGAGTAGAAGAAGCGGTTACATTTAGGCGTTTCGACAATGAAAGGGTGGCACCGAGATGCCAACCTAGTAGCACGCTTAAATTCATGCAGTTTGCGTACCAGTGAGAGTAGATCGTCCAAGCAGTTGCCATGAAAATATTTGTCGAAAAGAGAGCACGTCTGTGAGAAAGTGACTGTAGACGAGATGCCAGATCAGAACCTATCACATTGCAATCTGTCTGCATTTTGTATCTGCTAATTCTTACTTCAGGTTTTATTATCAATTTTATTTTGCTATAATCATAAATTTAATCTTTTTATTTCAATTTTCACCGTTATTGATTGAAGTTAATTTTATACGTATATATTGTGCACTAGAATGTTTTCTCTGTGATGTCTGTTCTGGTGTCATAGAAAGTTTTGAGCTTCCATTCCATCAGGTATTCTCTCCCAATGACTCAACCGAGAGGTGATCATTTCTCAACTAGCATTCTGGCTTAGATTTTGTATGCATTGTAACAATATTTGTGCTTGCCCAAATCCTATTCTTTTATTCAATTCTATGTAGGAATTCGGACCAATCAGAATTAGTTCGAATTTTTTTACTACTGGGTTTTGGCCAATCAGAGGAGCGGATTCCGTTTTTCTCTTAACCTTTAAACTTGAATTCCTCATTCAGAATAAGTTTTATCATTTTTAACCAATGATATACAGAGTTTTTATTTAAATCCAGATTTGTGTCTATGTGTGCTTAAGTAATATAAAGTCCTTGGGATTTGTATTTTCCTTTCTGCTTTATTTTTGCGATTTTGTAAGCTTTCCACTTCGCATTGTACATAAAGTAATTAATATATTGAAGGAGTTAGAAGATACGTTCAATTCATTTTGCTTCATCGTGTAAATATTCAACATTATTATTTCTAATTGCTTTCGTATTCTTAATTCCAGTTTATCTATTAGTCTCTCTCTTTAATAACGTTTTCCTTTTTCTCATATTCTTCTTCACCCTGTAACCTGTTTGCGTCTCAGTGGCTTTATCTCCTTACTTGGGGTAAAATCATTAAAGAAAACGTAGAAATCTACAATTATTCGAGAATTATTTCTTTCTTGTGTTGTAAATAGAAATTTATTATTTAAATATTTTTATTGATTTTATAGTTTTTTATATTTTGTCATTCGGTTACTTATTAATATATATATATATATATATATATATATATGTGTGTGTGTGTGTGTGTATGTATGTATGTAAATTATTTTCAGATTGAGTGTATGTATAAAGAACAAAATAAATAAAACGAGACAAGAGTAAAAACTATTTTCAGCCAACGCGTTTCGTCCTCGGAGAAACTTTATCAAGGCAAGAAAAAGTCCCTTTTTGACAATGTCTCTCTTTGAGAAACTTCCCCCGAGGGCGAAACAAGCGTCGGCTAAGAAGAGTTTTTCCTCGTGTCTCTTTTTAAATTAATATTAATATATATATATATATATATATATATATATATATATATATGCATGTGTGTTTTTCTCATAGGTTTCGTGCTGCTATGCGGACATATTTTAGCTCTCATTTTGAAAGAGACATTTATGTAAACAAATAAATACCAAAATGGCGGGAAAGAAGTTAGGCGTGCGATCCGATACAAATAAAGAACATATTGGGGGAGGAAAAATGAGAAGAGGCAAATGCAGACGCCGGACACAACGTCTTACCTGTATCGGCGGGGCGTTCTATGTCTTGGTAACCTGAAAACGAGAAAAGTCGAAGGTAGGCGTAGTTAGTTGTCACGTGATTCACATTGACATGGAACGAGAAAGAAGAGGAAAAAAGAAAATATCAAAAGGAGATAAAGAGAGAGAAAGAGAGTAAGAAAGAGAGGAAAGGAGAGCGTGAGTGAAAAAGAGAAAAACGGAGAGAGGGAGGAAAAAAGAGAATTGGAGAGCGTGATGGAAAGATAGAAAAGCAGAGCGTGAGGGAGAGAGAAAAAAGGGAGAAAGTGAGGGAAAGATAGAAAAGGAGAGAGGGAGGGAAAGAGAGAAAAGAAAAGCGTGAGGGAAAGATAGAAAAGGATAAAGTGAGGGAAAGAGAAAAAAAGGGGAGGGTAAGGGAAAGTGAAAAAAGGAGAGCCTGAGGGAAAGTGAAAAACAGGAGAGAATGAGGGAAGTGAGAAAAAAGGGAGTATGAGGGAAAGATGGAAAAGGAGAGCATGAGGGAAAAAGAAAAAAGGAGAGCGTGAGTGAAAGAGAGAAAAGGAGAGCGTGAGGGAAAGAGAAAAGAGAAGAGAGTGCGGGAAAGAGAAAAAAGGAGAGCGTGAGGGAAAGTGAGAAAACGAGAGAATGAGAGAAAATGAGAAAAGGAGAGCATTAGGGAAGGAGAGAAAAGGAGAGCGTGAGGGAAGGAGAGAAAAGGAGAGCGTGAGGGATAGAGAGAAAAGGAGAGCGTGAAGGAAAGAGAGAAAAAGAGAGAGTGAAGGAAAGAGAGAAAGTAAATAGGGTGGATGAAAAGATGTAATGTTATTACGATGCTTTGGTCGACAAGCGAGAAGATTCAGAAACCACAAACCTTTGAAAGTTACGAAGGGTGCTGGAAATTTTTCGACCTGACCCGCTTTCACTAAGTAGGTTCTTGGTGATTCCTCATTAAGATATATGAATTTAACGTCTGCTAAAACAAAGTCTTTGACGGCTTTAGATACGGTTTCAGCAGCATCATAACCTAACGATACCATTAGTTATTGTTGGTTTTCTGTCATATTGCAGGAATTTCAAATGAAAAGAAATACTATATCTATCCCAGGCTTCTATCCTAACTCATAGTTTGTGATATATATATATATATATATATATATATATATATATATATATATATATAAATAAATTAATTGATTTAAAATATGTTTTTTCGCTACACAGTTCTAAACATGTTTCAAAAATGAAAGATAAAAGCCCCGAATTTAATTTTGTAATTAAATTAAAGTCATATCTATAAGAACACCGTTAACTTTGCGTATACTTGATGAGGTCTGTAAAAAACGTGTGAATTTCTTTTCATTTTTCATTTCAGCTTTTGGAAGTAAAGTCTGATGATCCAGTACCCTGTTAAAGGGGTTATGGTGAAATAGCTTATTACATGGAATCTTAACGTGGTCTGTCTTTTATTCAACCATATCTGCTCTGAATTTTACATTGAGCTCTCTGGATATCATCCTCCTCAGGTCTACCCATACGGATTACCTAAATTTGCATAAACTATATATATATATATATATATATATATATATATATATATATATATATATATATGTATTGAACTATATTTTCAGTACGACATATCTCATTAAATAATTTAGACAAGTTTTGTCTACATATTTTTTTTTTTTTTTCTTCCTTTAATAAGGATACCAAGAAACTTGGCCGTAATTACGAGTAGATCCTATTAAAAATCAGTAGACAAAACTTGTCTAAATTATCTAATGAGGCATGTCTTAATATATATATATATATATGTGTGTGTGTGTGTGTATGTGTGCGTGCGTGCGTATGTGTGTGTGTGTGTTTAACGTTCATATACATTACGTATATAATACCTGAAGAGAATCCCTTTCTCTGACGTGCTTCGATAGCTGACAGGGTACTACCGTAAAGTTTTTATTAATTTTTCTTGTGTTCTTATATTTTTTTCTTTTCTGACCGAATGTTCTGATCGCTTTCGGTAATTCTTTTAGCCATTATCAAGGATAGTTTTATTTTTACTTTTAACTGAATGAATAGATTTGTTAAAGGAGGGAGGAGTGTTCTAACTGCATGTATTGTCTCTTTGTCTTTGCCTCAAAGTGAGGAATTTAATATTGCCCTGGCTTAGAAAACTTTTAAGCAAACCAGGTAGGCCTGCCTAAAAAATGTCAGATTACCCCGTGATGTGATCAGTCCGGTGTGCATTTGATCGGGTATCAGAAGATGTGGCGCCGAACGAAGAGAAACCTTCGTCATGCCAAGTTCATTGTGTTGAAGGTTCATAAATCCCTCACAGGATATAGTGATTTTCCAAGCGTAGCTTAGATGTGTCACAAGGCTTAAAATATGGTGCACCCAGTGAAAATCGAACTCACTATTCAGTCGTAACTGTTCTAGCGAGACAAGCTTGCTAACCATTACACCGCCTTGGGGTATCCACTCCCCACGGAATATATTTTAATAGCATTCGCTATCTGATTTATAGTCAATCGCCTGTCATTCACCATCATGTTTTCTTAGCTGGTGGTAGTTGCCCATTACAGGACGACCAGACCTACGGTTATCTTCAAGAATCTCGCCCCATACCCCTAAATTCAGCTGCCCACTTTTACACTGTTGATAATCCTGGAGCGTCATACCCTAAAGTAGCATTCATGTCAACGGGTGCATAAGAAAACAGCGATGTCATATGTTGTCAATTTTCAAGAGAAGACGCTACTTGTTACATTTGAAGTCTTCTTTGCACAGTCAGGTGTCACTTTACCTGGAAAGAAACAATGCAGTTATTAATAAGAAGAGTTGAAATTAATGCATTGTGGCATTGAGAAAATGTTGGACAGTTTTGTCTTTATTTTCTCTCGAAACAAACGTCGCTATATATATATATATATATATATATATATATATATATATATATATATATATATATATATATATATTTAATGAAAATGAAATGAGAGGTTTTTTCCCTCATTTCATTGTTGGAAGTGTTACCTGATGATTCTGAATCCTTTAAAAAGGATTTTGGTGAAATGAATTATTGTAATGATACCTTAAAGTGGTCTGTTTTTCATTAAATATTAGCTCTGTTCTTCACATTGAGCTCTCAGGATTTCATCCTCCTTGCATTTACCAATTCGGTTTACCAAGTTCTTCATAACTTATATATATATATATATATATATATATATATATATATATATATATATGTTTGTGTGTGTGTGTATGTGCTTAGGCTGAGTATTTTCATTATTTTTTTAAATCACATAAGTTGCCTCCCCTGCGTATAGATAAAAACATATTTTGAATTAATTTACGGTGTCAACGCATAACACATCAATAGATATGCAACCTCTGATAGACTGAACGTAATTGTGAAAATTAAAACTTCTTACAGAAATTAATTTGTGGACTTGAAAGTATTAAATCTAAAATAGATAGAAATAATACATCGAAATTGTAAATATATATATATATATATATATATATATATGTATTCATCATTTGATTAATATCATTAGTTTTATATATATATATATATATATATTATATATATATATATATATATATATATATATATATGTATGTATTCATCATTTGAGCAATAATATCATTAGTTTTATATATATATATATATATGTCTCTGTGTGTGTGTGTATATGTCTTTTAAGCATTATATCAGTTAATTAAAAAAAGGAAATACAACTTCCCTCGCAAAAATTAAAAGTGGTGGCATGTTTATAGAATAATTCATCATAAATGGCAACTATTGAAAGAAAAAAAAAGATAGAAAATTGAAAAGAAATACGAAGAAAATGACAAAAGATCACGACACCTTAAATGTACGCACAACCGCATAGACAGGCGCTTGGACGCACGTGCGCAAATACACACACGAACACAAGCAATGCTGAAAAAAAAAACTTAAGCCAAATTCTGAAGGTAACATGAATCAGCTAAGTCACAAACTTTTACTCATAACAATTTTATATATATATATATATATATATATATATATATATATATATATATATATATTATAAGGAGAGTCATAAAGATAAGCAAGAGAATTCAATCATGGCTGTCAGACAATTTCTGCGACCACATCATCTCTTACATCCACCTACCTAGCTCCCCAGATTGCAAACCCCTTGATTATTATGTGTGAGACGCAGTTAAACGAGAGATTAACAAAGCTTATTTTAACACTAAAGATGAACTGAAGGGCAAGCAAGTATTTCAAGATATTTTTTTAGTAATTTTGGTAAATATATCTTTTAAAATGAGATGTCATTACTATTTTATTTTTGCTGAAATTAAACGACAATTTAGCCATCGCACTATATATATATATATATATATATATATATATATATATATATATATATAAATCCTAATGAGCCAGGTACTACCTACCTAGGTTTCACCACATGGGATCATCAGGGTGAACTGGCCATTAGGATTATATATATATATATATATATATATATATATATATATATATATATACTACCTACATAGTTTTCACCACATGGAATCATCAGGGTGAACTGCCCAGTTCACCCGGATGATTGCTGATGATCCCATGTGGTGAAACCTAGGTAGGTAGTACCTGGCTTATTAGGATTTATTCATTTTACCCTTGCTCTAGTTAGCATATTGAACACTCTTCGTTTTAACTTATTACTTGCTGTTTTCTTGTACCAGAAATTTAAGGTACTGGACTATTTCTTTCGCTCTGTTCGGAGGTTTCTGTTTCTTTCTTTTTTTTACAATTTTTTTAACTCGGATACCAATATTTGTTTGAAAACTTTGCTATCCAGCTTTTTCAGCCACCGTGTTTAAATAAAATTGGGAATACATATATATATATATATATATATATATATCCCGATTGTAACAGTAAAACTTCCAAATCGTTTACCGGCATAATTATTCATCCTATAAAATATTGTTATCTAATAAACCACTAAACTAATTGAATTTTCGTTTTCCCGGTTTTCAGATAAGATATTTAGCCATCTTGCCACCGTTTGTTGTAAGAATCATTGAAAACCACTTTGAGTTAATAAGCGAACAAGAAACCTGGTTAAAATTGTTTTGTGTCAGACCCACTGTTTTTTTAACTGAAAAAACGGAAAAAAATTCAGGTCTTTATGGCGCCAGCATTCATACTCTGGCTTCCATCTTTAAAGACCAATGAAGAACCATTAAGAGAACGGTGAATAGGTTTGGAAAAGAGGGAACAGTAGAAAGGAAAACTGGATCAATTGGTCACAACAGGAAGAGCGATCGCCATTTTAACTTAGAACTAAAGAGATCAATTAGAAAAGATCCGACTCAATAAAACAAAATCGTGTTTGAAAACTGTGAGGCATCTTGTTACTCCAGCAAAGAAAGTTAGCCAAGGCGAATATCATCTTGAATCTATCTATCTATCTTTGAACTTAATTTTAATTCTTCATAAGTTTTCGATCCTTATCTATGAGTAATTTATTATGAACATGTCATTTTCGTTTAAGATCGATTTCATCACGATTCTTCTGTTAAGCTTGGAGAGTAATTATATATTCTTATTGCTCAAAGTCAAGTCCAATAGTGTTATAAAATCTTCGGAGTATTTCAGTAAGATATCTTTAATCATTTCTAATATACAACGATTCAAATTTTAATCTAACATTTGGTCACAATTTGGACAATTCTGTTGTTATACTATATATATATATATATATATATATATATATATATATATATATTGTGTGTATTTAGGCATTTTTATAATACGTCATGA